CCCCACAAGTCTCTTTCACTATTGTCCTATGAACTCCACAGGCAGGTGACGTGTTTGTACACACACACACATACACACACACCACACACACACTCAACATATGCACACATACTACTAATAATAATCAAAAACTAAAAGAAATAGGTGCGTCAGATGAACCCCCACTGCATTCATTTCCCTACAAAGAGAAAAGCCTCTTTAATTTTCTAAGTCGCTCTCAATAAAACCCTATACGCAAAGTGATTACTTCCCCTGTCCATAATGACGCCTGTCTCTACAGCTCCCCAAGCTGACTCTTCTGGAATTTTTGCAATAAAGACAAGCTTTTGGATATTAATCCCAAAGATTAATTTTCAAAAACACTAAAACTAAAAGAAAAATAAAAAAGCTTTCCCTTTATTCATCCCATCTTAAGTTATGTTGCCTAATGTTGCCTTCTCTCTGGACACATCTCTGCAAAGAGACATTAAGATGCACACATCCCTTATAATCAACTGGATGAATTAAGAGTCCTAGACAAGTTACCAAGAGAAAAAGTATTAAAAATAAAACCCTAGCTTTTATTTTTATTTTTTGTTTGGTTTTGTTTTTCGAGACAGGGTTTCTCTGTAACTTTTTAGAACCTGTCCTGGAACTAGCTATTGTAGACCAGGCTGGCCTTGAACTCACAGAGATCTGCCTGCCTCTGCCTCCTGAGTGCTGAGATTAAAGGCATGTGCCACCATTGCCCGGCTCCCAGTTTTTAATTTTTATCTCTGCTAATGTAAATGTAGATTATAGGTAATGAACCTAGGAAGGGACCACAGGGAGAGGGGCTCTGAAGCGGACTGAGAAGTAATGGAATCCCTGTGGTGTGAAGAAAGGGGGCTGAGGGGATGGGAAGACACAAGAGGGAACAGGGAGGTGGGGAGAAGAGTGGAGAAAGAGGAGGCTTAACAAAAACAAGTTATGTCTGAAAATACTGCAAGGAAACCTGTTGCTTCACTTGTTGTTCTTGTTACATTAACATACAAAGTAACGGGTTTCTAGCGTTTTCACACAAACTTAGTTTTCCTTGATGCCCCCGGGCTTCTCCAGCCCCCAAACTTCCCGTCTCCTTCCCCCATTTGTACCTTTCTGTCCCAGTATTCTCCTTTGTCACCTGTGTTGTGTTACCCTCCTCACTCTGCCTCCTTAAAGCCCCTTTCTCTTCTTCTGGACGCTTTCCAGTCTCCTGACCTCTTACTGCACTGGCCCACATGACCACACACTTGCGGAACTTGGTGTGAGCTGCACATGAGGGAATGTAGTATTTGTCTTTCTTCTTTCGCCGCTTTAAAAAAACAAAAAAAAACATAGCCTTGAGAAGGAAAAGGAGAATGAAAAATACATTTTTAAATAGTAAAACCAAAGAAGAAAGGAAGAAAAGAAAGTAATGGAAAGGAAATAAAAACAAAACTACGGAAATGGGACCAGGTGAGATAGCTCAGTGGAGAACTGGCTGGCGACACTGCATAACAACCTAAATTCAACCTCCAGAACCCGCAGTGGACACAGCGCGAGAGTGGAACGGTGGAACGGACCCCTGAAAGTTGTCTTCTGAACTCCAAAGGCAAGCGGCATGTGCACACACACACACACACACACACACACACACACACACACACACTAAACATATACATGTATAGTAATAGTAATAAGTAAAAATTAAAAGAAAGAAATAGAAGATACTTCAATTGGAAACTCCAATGCGTTTATTTCCCTCCTTTTTCTGTGCTTCATACTCAAGCCAAAATGGAAGCTTCCACTCCATTGGAACCAGGCATTCGGACACAAAGATAGTCTCAAGACAACCAGAGAAAAGACTTTGCTGATGAAAATCGTGTTCAAGTCCAAAAGAGTCGCTGCGAATAGAGTGCTTGGCGTCCCTACATTTCTGTCTCCTGTTTCCTGTTTCTAGATTATAGAAAGCATGCTGGGCTGTGAGGAGACCCTGATGATCTCTGGCAGCCCAAACGCACATCTGCCCACACATCGCCCAGCCGATGTCACCCACTGCTGCTACTGCGGTCTCACAAATTAGGGAACCGAAGTGAAAAGATGGCAGCGATTTAGGATTAGAAGGACCCTGCAACCTTCTCCAGCCCTCTGGGCATTATGGGAGAGTGACCTGGAAAATCAAATGCAGAGAAGTGTCCTAAAATATAGGACTCTTGTTTGAGGCATAGTAGAACCTATTAGCTTGAGAAAATGGTCTGGAAATCTTATTAAAAGAGACAAATCATTCCACATTCTCCTCAGGCTGAAAATATTGGGGGTAATAGGCTCTCCCAAGTGCCTCAAATCCATGCTCCTCATGTCAGGATCACAGCCGAATTCTGGCAAGGCTAAATTCAATGCAGGCAATAAAGGCAATTATTTTTTTTAAATGGGAAGTTCTGATTAATTCCAGTTTCTCTGGCCAACCACAGACTTATCGGTACCAGTCCCTCATTACTGTGAAGGTTGCAAGGCAGAAGAGCCAGTGGCAAAGAGAAATGAAGTTCAAATTGCGGATTTGTCACTACCGCACAGCTCCGCAGCAGCGGACTGCCCAGCTGCAGAGGTCCCTGTGACCATCTCTCCTCCCCCACCCCTACACTCACATCTCCTCTCTCAATATACTGGATTAACCCCCAGTGGAGTGGCTGGGCAAGCGGAGGACCAATGCCTTGTGCAACGTCACCTTGCATGCCTTTGCTACTCGAGAGGTACAGTAAGAAGGAACATTCTTCATGTCTAAGTGCAGAATGACTCCCAGCTTATAACAGGACATTCAGCTTGAGAATTTTGACTTTACAATGTTGTGTAAATGATATAAATTTGATAGAAGCTATATAAATTTTGATTTGGGTGTCTTCCTTGGACCAATGATAGACAATACTCTCTGGTGACGGTTAGGTACTGGCGGCAAGCTAGAGATCTGAGACACACAGCATCCTGCAGAGAAACCACTAATCCTTAACAGTGCGCAGTACTTCATTACAAAACTGAAATAGTCTAAAGGTTCTGTGTACTGAGTATATTTTTTGCAGTGCTAGGTATTAAACATAGGGCCTTGTGCATGTGAGGCTGTGATCTACATCCCCAGTTCTAAATTCATTCTCTACATTATGATGTCATCAACCAATGGTGCATTAATGGGGATGCAGCCCCATCATAAGCCAAGGAATATGTGAATGATAGTGATCATTCTGTGGCAGTAACTATACCATTGAATTATAAATGCAATAATTACCGGCAATATCAAGTAGGTATTCATTTCACAGCTGGTACAGTACTAAGTGATTTTCATGAATTATCTCCTTTATCAAAAAAAAAACCCTAAGAGAGAAAGGGATGGCAAAGATTGGTATGAACGGCTACAGGGAAAATATTGTAGGTCTTTGTCTAAACTACTCTATTCTGTACCTGCAGCACTGCGTGACAGCGGTCATAGACAGTTCAAGAACAGGTTAACAAATGCATGTCGATAAAACTTTATTTATAAAACCATTTCCTATGGCTGTTAGGTCATAGTCTACCAACCACAGATAAGTTAAATGATGGTGTCCCTAAAGGAGACCTTTGGGTCTCCACAGGGAAGAAGGCAAGGATATGATGTTCCCCTTTCGCATACCCTACCTCTGGTTCTTTCTTCATCATTCCCATTCTTGAGGGAGGAGAGAACAAAAATCATCATGTCATGTGACTCCCCAGGGTGAATCGTCAGTTCAGTACCATCAACGAGAGAGAGAGAGAGAGAGAGAGAGAGAGAGAGAGACAGAGAGAGAGAGAGAGCAATTTTTCTTTCCCAGGAGAACCCTGCCTCAGAGGAGACCACCACACTGGATAGGCAGGGGGCATGTCCATGCTTCTCAGAGACCAGAAATTTGAAGGATCCCGTGTTGCCTCTCCACAGACACCCACACTAAAGCCACCCAACAAATCAATAGTCACAGAAGAGTACCAGACCCACCCTCTTTGATGACACACTTAACCAAAAGGCCACCTAGGGTCTCACACCCGGGTTCCTCAGCCTCTGCAGTACTGTATTGGACTGACAGTATTCTCAAGAAGTATTCTGAATATTATGGTATGTCTAGCTGCATCCTAGCCTGTTCTCATAGCTGTGATGATCAAAACTGGCTCCGGACTTTGGGAGACGGGAACAAATGGCCTCTAGCTGAGAGCCATTCTCTTAGAGTGAGGGGTGACCATGGCTCTGGCTCTCAGCTATGTGTATAATTCCCAATTCTAGGAGCTCTGGGAAGACAGCAAGCTCTCTTGGTGCCAAGTAAATGCTCTTTTTCATGGTATGAAGGAGACACACTTATCCTCAATTAGCACCTGAGAGCAGAGATCTGAGTGACAAAACTCATAAGCATTGGAGCCTGGGCTTGGAGCTAAGACTGTCAGATGCCCAAATCTGTACTTTTTTAAACAATCAGTCTGAGTATGACTGTGAACAGTCACTGTAGACTTTTCTGGAATTGAAAATGGTTGGCATAATAAAAGCCAGATTATGCCTGCCCTTTACTTGGAGCTACTAAAACCCTACCACACAGGGAGATGCTGTTCTCCCTACTTCACAGGTAAAAAAAACAAAAAAACAAAAAAACAAAACTGGGGTCCAGATTACTGTTCTCCCCATTTCACAATTGAAAAGACTGAGGTCCTGCAAAATAAGAAATAATTTGAAGTCAGCACAGAAAATATTTTTAAGCCTCCCCCCCGCCTGGCTTCATTCACAGCTTCCGCATTTTAGAACCAAAGAAGTTGGACCTAAACTTCAATAGGGAAGCTACATACAGTTTGCTTCTTAAGACTGAACCTTTCTGGCCACGTCCGCTCACAATAAAGGCTCAGTGACAAAGAACACTTATGTGCCCCCTTTTTTGACCTTGGCCTCCTATGACCTCTGGTTTTTTTTGTTTGTTTCTTTGTTTTGTTTTTTGTTTGGTTTGGTTTGGTTTGGTTTGGTTTGGTTTGGTTTCCTGCAGCTTTGTATGCAATACTGGCCTGAGAAGACCTCCGGGTGTTATGGTCCCATCCAGGTGGAGTTCGTCTCCGCAGACATTGATGAGGACATCATCCACAGAATCTTCCGTATCTGTAACATGGCTCGGGTGAGTACCGAGCCGCCATGGCTCCCAGTTCCCCTTCTTTGCAGAACAGATGGAGGCTGCTGGGAGAGGATCCCACCGAGCCAGCCAAGAGTCTGTTCCTCCCTCCTGATAAGCTCTTCCTTAGGGAAGTGATGTCTGTGCTGATTCCGACTCCAGACCCAGCAATGACTCTAGCACAGATAGATGTTCAGAGCGGCATCCAGCCTGCCAGCTGCCTATTTCCTGACACTCTAGCAGCCATGTAGACAAAACTTCCCAGACATTCGTTCTTCCCCACTCTGGCACACTGCACTGGTACCCTTCGTTTGGATCTTAGGAGCTTTGGACCAGTTCCTACGAACATTGACATGGACCACAGTTAGTTGCTTATGAAGGGATAGCTACTGTTTGAGTCCTGGGTTGGAGGGGCCCATTAAAAATCTGTGAAACAATGGCTAACTACTCTTGCTCTTTACTGAGAGCTCAGAGAGACGATACTTGGTCTCTGTCCTCAGTTTACTACCAAATAGAAATAAGCTATGCTCCAACTAATGACCTTCAAAGAGAAAGAATTCTACTTGACAGAACAAGAAAAGTGTTCCTAAAGAAAGTAACATCTGAACGGTGTTTGAAGAATGGCAAGTGTAGAGAATTTAAGCAGCATGCACAAGGGAATGACATTAAGTATAAAGACACTCCGTGCCCATAATGGCACAGCTAAGGCCCCAACTCTGTATGATTTCTACTCTATTACAGCCCCCAGGGAATCTGAAAGGCTTGTATCCCCAGACATCCCCAGCAGAATAACCCTAAACAATGCTTATTCTCAGCCACAGGATGGTTACCGTATCGTCCAGCACCTCCAGTATATTGGCTGGCCTGCATACCGGGACACACCCCCTTCCAAGCGCTCTCTGCTCAAAGTGGTCCGACGGCTGGAGAAGTGGCAGGAGCAGTACGATGGGAGAGAGGGACGCACTGTGGTCCACTGCCTGTGAGTACCACAGAGATGTCTCCAGAGCAGTGTAGCGGATGGGTGACAGATTATTGGAAAGCGTTTCTGGTTGCATATGCCAGTCCTAGGCATCATATCAACATCCTTTATAATTGGTGATACATTCAAAGGAATTAGAGTCCTTTAATAAACTGAGGTGCCAGTTTTTCTAAACTATTGTTGTATGACATATTGCTAAAGCAAAATACGGTAGGCAGATCCCTTCCCAGTGCTCCCAGTACAGAAGTGAGTTCCACTGTCTAAAAGGAGGTATGTGCACCATCCAACTAGGTACAAGAAAGCTTGGAATAAAGTGCGTCCCACGGACCAGAGCCCCCTTGTGTTATTTCCTCAAGGAGAAGAAAAAGGATGGTACTGTATTAGCTTAGTTTAAGTCTGGCATTTAAAATGACCCACCTCATCCCATCCGCGAGGCAGATACGATCACTTTGCAGTAAGCAAACTAAAAGCATGGATGGGTAAGGGAAGAGAGCAAGAGGAACTCAGTTTGAATTCTCCAGACTGCGAGCTGGTGTACTGCCTGCTGTCCCACACTGCATCTAAGAAGAGGGAGGATGAAGGGCATGCAGGATGAGGACCTCTTGGACAGTGTGAGGACAACTTGGACTTGCTCACTGTGTCAGCCTCCTGGGATATCTCTTACCTTGTGCTTAGTAGGAATAGGGACTCAGAGAGCCCGAGAGGAAGACCCTACTCCAGTAAATAGATTTTTTTCAAAGCCCTGAAATTTGTGTCCCACAAGAGGTGCAGTGAACTTAAGACTAGCCACTGGTATGATTTTTGCTTCCTGTTTTGGGATGGGTACAGCTCAGTACAATGGGCCCCATTACATTCTGCTAAGCAGAGATCAAGATCCTTAGAAGATTGTGGCTGGCCAACTACATCATCAAATGTAAAAAAAAAGTACTTAATTATGTTACCCTTGTTTTCACATCTGTCCATTTGGATATGTTGGAGTAGATCATGTGTAGAGCCTGTAGTGCACAAGCATGAAGCGTTTAGAAGAGAATAATGTATCTGTCAACAGAGAGATTTACAAATGCCATAGCAGAAAATACATAGGTACAATTCCTTAAGAGCACATGTCACAGAGTCTACCATGGGGCAGGGTTCTATGAAGAGTTCAGACCAATACACAATCTGCAGCCATAAGAGATGTATGCAGGATATCTACAGCCATCAACTTGTTAGAGCATCATTTTGGAGAGAAACGACTAAAAGTCCTTCCTCTTTTAAAAAATCCTGTATTGCAGAACATCTGAACCACACTTTTATCTTCTTGTCAGAATAATTATTTCTGGTGTGAGTGGAGACATTAATTATCTTTTATTGGCCTCTGAATTGAGTTGTCTTTTCCAAAGTTGCTAATTGTTCACCTTCTTCCAGATAGGTGGTTCATATGTGTCAGGAAGGTCAGAGCTTAGAGCAGGTTAAATACACATGTGCGCACTCAGAACTGAAAAGCTCCCACTTGTAGAAACTTCTGTCTAAGGATAGAGTTCTGCACGGACTCCAGGAAGATACTGTGTGGTGTATCTTCTCAGGGTGATGGACAATGTCAGACATGCCAAGCTGTCTCTAACTGAATACCACAGAGACTAGAGACTGTTTTCCAACCCTGGCTCCCTCCAGTTTCTTCCAACACATTAGATGCCCCCTCATTAGCACGGAACAATGTCCATTCCTCAGGACTCCCATGAGGCCCTAAGATGACGCATCTTTTTTCCTTCATCCTCTTGGTCCTAGATTCTGTTTCAAAAGATACTAAACCCTCCTTGCTGGGAAGGCTTCCTACACTCCAGTGTTTTTATTTCCTAGTCTATGGGGGCAGGAGTGGTTTCTTTGGTTGGTTGTGGTTTTTGATTATTTTCACCCATGTCTCACTTGCTCTAGGTGACCAGCACAAGTGTGTCACCCTACCAATAGAGACCTGGACACGCTTGGGGTCCCCCAGGCATCATGACAGTCACTGAAATGCAGGCACCCACCAGTTAAGGGAGGATGATTTTGAGTATTTGAAACATCTGGTTGTTAGGTTTCCTGTAGGTGAAGCATCTGGGAGATTGACTAAGTGCCTTCGTTTCTGCCCAGATGTTCCTTAGACACAGACCATTACATGAAATCATTAGCTGCCTTTGGCAGCTCGCCCAGGAGTTCAGAGTCAGGTAAGTTCCTGAAGAGGCTTGTTTCCATAAGGGTAATTTATGGAGCTTCAGAAAGAAGGAGCAACTGAGGATGGCCATTCCAAGAATGCTCAGTCCCTATTCCCAAGACCAGTAGAACCCTATTTAAATAAGATTTATAAGGAGAGCCATGAAATTAGTCTGGTGTTTCAGATATACCAAGCCAATGTCCCAGGACCACAGCCCAAAGTTGGGGCTAGCTATCCCAAGACTCAAAAACTACTGTTGTCTTTATTAGAAGATAGAGAGAAATAGTAATAAAACTACCTAGTGACTTGCATTGTTTTCAGTGGCTGTCTGGTAGACACTGAGTATCCTTTTGAGCATGGATGTAGGTACCACATGTACAAAGACACAATACCATCCTGCACTGAGAATGTAGAATAGTGTCCCTAGAATGATTATAAAATGCTCACAGAGCCAAACAGACATCAATCTAACTAAATGCTCAAAGGTCACATAGTCTAACATCTTTATTAAATAAATGGGGAGCTCAGGACACAGACCAAGAAGTGCCTTTCACAAGGTCAAAGAGGATTCAGAGCCCCAGTAGGATTTAACCCAAAACCTGTGACTCAACTCAAGTTTTTATGGTTGTCTGCTCACACAGCTGCTAGGACAGTTACTACTGGCTCCCACGATGCAGCTTTAGGATCAACATGAGTAGGGGGTCCTGGGGATTTGGCTCATCCGTTCACTCTGTGTTTAGAAACGGAGGCGGCCGCAGCGGAACCTTCTGTGCCATCTGCAGTGTGTGCGAGATGATCCAACAGCAGAACATCATCGATGTGTTCCACATCGTGAAAACACTGCGCAACAATAAGTCCAACATGGTGGAGACACTGGTGAGCTGCCAACAGTCGTGATCCAACAGCCAAGGTCTTCCTGTCCCCTGGACCTGAAAAAATGTGTCTGTAAACAGGACACACCCCCAACAACTGGTTTCTATTTGAATACCTGTAGTCTATTCTACTGGATAATACTGTCACTTTTCCTGTGTCTTTCCAACCCCACTGATTTCTCTTTCCTGCAGGGCAACCTAAATAGTAATCCCAGTCCACTTAGTTTGTTTTGCTTTCTGCCTGCTCCTTAAAAATGTCACTAATTCGGACTCCAAGGAAGGATTATAGAATAGTAGCTTGTGAATTAGGTTTTCAATTCAGCCCAAGCCTGTCTTCCCTGCTCAAGCCTATTCTAACTCACTTACACTAATATTTTACCATATAAAGCATTAAACTGGGATGCTTTGGAGAAAGGATAGTAAAGCTAGTGGGAAGGCAGAGCCCCAATGTTAAGATCTGGTCTAATGGTGGAGACAACCCATCAAGGAACTTGACTGTAAGTGTCTGCATAGCTGCTCAACGTGTGGTGAGATCCTACATCCAGATCTCTGGATGTGGTCCAGAGACTGGTAGAAGCAAAATCACCTGGGAGTTTGTGAAGAAGGCAGAGTCTTGAGCCCCATCCCAAACTGGCCCAATCAGAATCTTCATTTTCAATATATGCCCTTGCATGTTCTGCATGCAGGTTATAGTTTGAGAAGCCTTGGTGTACAATGTAGTAACTGAAATGGCATGATCTCAGTTGGTCATTCTGGGAAGGGTGAGTAGAAGCAGACATCAGTTAGGATGTTAAAGGTTGTCCAGACATAGAATATTTCTATCTGGTGTTTAGTGTGTGTGCATACAGTTTTCTCCAAAATCTACCTCTCTAATCTAACGCACTCTTTTATGTTCTATCTCTCTCTTGTCTCCATCTCTCTTCTCCTCCTCTCAGGAACAGTATAAATTTGTATATGAGGTGGCGCTGGAATATTTAAGCTCCTTTTAACCCAGCTGGATGAGAAACCTGCCAGAGTCCAGAGGCTGCTTATTGCAGTTGACCCTCTTTTTCTGTGACTGACAATGACTGGTCTCAGGAGTTCGGAGGTGGCACACCTGCCCAACTCCAAGAAGAAGACTGGTGGTCTCACCATGGGCTCTGCCATGGGCTCTGCAGCTTCTGGCGGGTCTTCTGTAGCTGTGGGAGATGCTGCTCTGATGGGGCCGAGCTTCCCTTCTACACCTGATGACATTGGGCCCACAGAAGTTTACACTCAAACAAGGCCCTGGACTTTCGATCCCCAGACCTCTTGCTTTTGTTCTTTCTGAGTTTGTTAATCTCATGGCAAGCGGACTGTGCAGGTGATGGGGTGTGGGGAGCTGGCCAGCCCTTCCCTTGCTGTCCTTAGGAAGACTGGGGTGAAAGTTCTTCTTCATTCTATCTTGCAAAGGATAGTAATTTGGGGGAATCACTGGGTTATTGGGTTCTACAATGTCCTACAAGGGTCTCTGGCATGAGCCACTTGCCAGTCTGTATCAGTGTGACTTCTGGATACCTCCCCTAGACCATATCAGGGGTCCTCTTCATCTCACACCTAACCTGTGCTGGGTTTGACTCATGACTCCTATCTCCAGCCAAGACCTGACCTTCTGTATTCTCCTGGCCAACCAGCTATTTCCACATTATACTTGGGAAAGGGTTTCCTCTGCTTTTCCATAGTGTGTAGGGGAGGAGGATTCATAGGAAATGTTGCAGTACCTTTTTTAACTTTGTAGAAAGGACCACTCTCCTGGGCAGGTTCTGACTGGCCTGTGTGGTATAACCCTGTGCTCCCTAGGTGGTACTTTCTGTATGAAAGACAAACAAGAAAAGCTTTGATTGTTCTCCCAAGTACATGTGAAAAGAAAGAGTATGAGAATATAAACCCTGTATTCTCTTCTGTCAGAAAAAAAGAAAGGAAGAAAAGAAAAAGGTAGGATGGCAGTTTGAGCGTGCGGCTGTAAGATACATTTCTTGGGCTTATCATGTCCCCTGGCCATTCCCTTGAAAAGTCCCACTGATAACACAGCCTTTGAACAAGTGAGGTGGCATCCCTGGGAGTGGTCCCTGGTTTGGGGGGAAAATACGGAAACAGCTTTATAATTTGTCTTTCCAAATTTGAACACTTCCCTAAAGAAATCCGGCTGCTGTTTTGAAAATGGCTACTGTGGCCCCCAGGTTGATTTTCAATACATTAAGCAGGTTTAGGCCCTGAAGCTTTCCTGCAAGCCAAGTGCCATTCTTCTCCCCTCCCATATGACATCTCATCGCACCCCTGAAAAGGGTTTGCATCACCTTCATTTTGTAATTGAAGAAACCCGAGCACCTTCTTCAGTGGTGGAATTCAGGATTCAAAAAGACAGGTGATAGCAATGAAACCTCCCTGCCATTTTGTTCATGCTTTCCCAGCCACACGGTTATTTAATGGACGAAAAATAAGGCTCGAAACTTCTGAGCAGAGAGAGAACTCCATGAGTAGAAAATTCAATTCTTTCTTTCTGCTATCAGTTCTTCTCGGTAGCCCAAACTTTCAGAAATATTTTTATTAACTCATTCCCAGTTCCCCAGGAAAGCTAATCTTATCTAATTTCTTCATTGCTAAAAACAATTCTCATGTTCCCTCAGGGTCCAAGGGAGCCAGGCTGGGAATCTCTCTAGCCTGGGCTGAGCCACAATATTTGACAGCCTTAATAGCCAGGGGTCTAGAAAGGTCTATCTCGCAGACTGATCTAGCCGCAAAGTATGAGGGACACAGAATCCAATAAGGTACACATTGCCCTTCAGGCTCACTGTATACTAGGAAAGTTGAGCCACATTGTAATAGTAGAACATACAAGCGTCCTATGAGCCTAGACATGAGAGTAACTCACTCTGCCTAGCAACATCCCTCCCAGCTGGGTCTCAACAGATAGAACAGAAAAAAGGAAATTCAAGCCAAGGGGGTTAATGTGCACAATGGTAAAGAGAAGTAAGAAAGTATCAGGAGGGACAGATGGTGGGAGGTCAGCGCAGCTAGAATAGAGCAGGACAGGGATAACAGCAGGAAGGCAGCCAGAGCCAGGGAGGAAATATAAAGAGCGTGCATGGTCATCACCCTGCAGGCAACAAGAAGCTGGCAGAGCTCAACAGTGATGCACTCAGCTTAGTCTGGGAGAAGGCTCCTCTGGACCAGTAGTACAGCATCTTTTCCTTTCATCAGACACTGTGAAAACATCCTCCTCTGCGTGTGCTTTTAATGTTACCTGTGAGTGAGGGTGTGTGTGTGTGTGTGTGTGTGTGTGTGTGTGTGTGTGTGTGTGTTCATTATTTTGTTGCTGGAACAAATATGGAGTGGATCATGAAACTCAGCTCTTGTGTAAAACACCAGGTCTCTGCTCTACCATGTAACAGGGTCAACAACCCTGACTTCTAAACCTACAAGGACAAGATATAAAAGGAAACCAGGAAGTCAACTTCCATTGGCATGAGCCCAGGAGCTCTCTAGAAGTTCAAGAACACCAGACTTGATCAAGGAAGGCTGTCACTTTAGAGGTTCAAAAGAAAACAACTCAAAGCAAAGGCAATCAAAGGGGTCCCATGATTCATTCTTCTCCTTTGATGGGCCTCTTACCAGGTAGATTTGAGTCTATCCACAGGCCCCAGCCCCTACTGGTCCTTCTGGTTTCTTGTGGCTCTTGTCTCCTATTCCAAACGGACTTCCCTATAGCCTGCAGGAGTCCATAGCATAACCAATTAGCATGTTGCATGCTATTTTCTCAGATCTTGGCCAGTTCCAACAGGAAGTGGGCAGAGGAAGGATTATTTCATAGAAATCCTAGAAGTCATTCTGCTGAGGAAGGGGTGAAGGAGCAGAGAGATAAAGATGACAGTGGTCTCTATCATTTCAAACGGTGGGAATTTGAAGAGTAACTTCAGGGGGAAAGAAATGTGTGAAAATTCAGGCCATGCTGAGGGAACTCACCAAGGGTTAGCCCATCCCCTTATTTTCTCATAACCCAATCACCCTCAAAGAAAGTGGTCTTAGGCCAGTGTGCACAAAAAGAAAATGAGGCACGTGGATAGAAATGATATTCTTCAGATTCATGTGGAAAACGTGCAGAAGGGCTTAGATGAAATGAAGATGGTACTAAGAAATTTATAAGGTATTTTCGCCCAGGAAACCTCCCTGGGAAATCCACCTTCCAAGAGTCTCGTCTCACTTCTATTATAGAATGAGCTCATCTTTACATGAGCCAAGAAAGGGTGCCAAAGAGAATGCTTGCTTAGCAAGATCTTCCTATTGGTCTCTATTGGAATCTAACTGGAGAAGGCGCAAGACATAAATGAGATACCATCAGCTGTCCTCACTTGGGTGTGTTTATGGCCTGCATGGCTTCAGGTTGGACCACAACTGCATCCCAGCATCATGTTATCTTACCTCTGCTGATAGGATTATCATGGAGGAGGTAGGGGCCTGTCAGCCTCTAGACAGCCATGGCACAGCCCTTTTTATAGGAATGGAGGAGGCCACTTGCTTCAGGTGTTTACCCTCACTGAGGGACTGAGCAATCAATGTCACCTACTCTATGGAGCCAGCAGACTCTACTGTAGACTCGAAAACATGAGTTCACCCTTCCAACACTTCTGAAGTGTCTGTGACTATGGCCATCACTACTTTGCTGGCAAGGAAAAAAATCTAGAGGGAGAACTCACTTGCCCATATAAGCAAATTTTACCTGGTTTTCTGAGCACAGAGACAATATTCTTCCACCTTGGTATCTGGGATTTTTCCTACATGATTACTCTTAACAACAGAAATAAGGGTGAAACGAATGACTCAGTAGATAGTGATAAGGCCCAGTGAAGACAATGGTCAGCTTCAAATTCCTTTAGAGACTCATGTTTTACATTCATAACATATTTGAATTCCATTTGCTAATTTATTCTCTGTAGTTTAAATATGACTGCATAATATATATTTTTTTAAATCTGCCCTTTATCTCATACATCTCTCTGATGGACCTTGGGGAATATCTCTGTTCAAGGCATAGCACCTAGTCTTGTTCCTTCCTCCCAAGGTCAATTTTATACTCAAGTTCACATCAACTTATACTCCCCTAAGCACACTGATTGCTGTGTGCATATCCTGACTGCACTGCTCCTGAGATTCAGCTTAGGTCTCTTCTTCTTACAGAGGGTTCTGCAAGGTACCTACTGACAGATTAGAATAATGAGGACTTACCTGCCTGGCATGGTGAAGGTTGAGTCCACAAAACAAGGAGAAACAAGAAGATCCTTGACTACTGAGAAGTGCCTATTGTCTTATTTGAGTCCTATGGCTTTCGATGTGGGCAAATCTTAGGATACATGTCACACAAACATTTGGAATCTTAGACACCCTTCGCTTAGCTCTATACAATTCTTGGGTTCCTATACCATCCAGCACTCTAGACGGGTACCACTAGGAAGGACAGATCACTATGGCATGGTACAGCATGGTAAGTAGGATAAGATCTTGCTCTTTGATTTGAACTCCAACTTCACCAGTTTTGGACATTAAATTATCAGGCTGAACAATACATGGAAAAATCCTTGGACAGGTTAGAAGTGGTTAATCTGGAAGGCTAGGGTAGGAAAACAGGAAGGCAAATTGAAACTCAGTGTCTTCTCAGAAGCAAGGATGTTTATGGGATGTGGAGCTGAGTGATAAATGATGTGGAGGATAGAATAAAGAACGTCACCCTTCTTTAGCCTGTCGCTGGCCACCCCTGCTAACCCTCAGCACCAAGCTAAAACATATGATATGTCTAGCTCCAAGGCTAAGCATGAACAATATGTTGATCCTATGCCATAAAAGTCAATAGATTATTCTGAGCTGAGTTCCCTAAGAATGAGTCACCAACCCAGGCTGATAGACAAGACAAAAGATACAATGGAGAGATAACTGTGTCATTTGAAAGCCCTGACTTGCCTTTCCCATTGACCAATCAATGTGAAGCCCTCCTTAGCCTCTTGCCAGCTCTAACATACAGCCACATATGGCAGAAAAGTGGGAAAAGTGAATTCAACCATAGACCAACTAGGATTCTGCCTCGTTTGTATGGGTTCCCTGTGTGAGATCGTTTCTAGATACATATCAAAATATCAAAAACTACAAAACTCAGAGCCTTCCCTTTGCCTAACATGGTGTCACCTTTAAAATCCTATCCTTTCTGAAAGGCGGGGGGAGTTGATAGACATTGGGGAAAAAGGAAAAGATCTAACTCGAGTTTTCTCTGACACATATTTCCGGGTTGTGAAGCTGATCCTCAGAACACACCACAGATATCTCTGTCATTTCTCTGTATGAGAATAGGCTCTTTGAGTTTCTTGGTAATCTTGGGTAGACTCTTGTATGACAGTGGCTATATAACTGTATTATGGAGACCAAGACCACCTCTTGCATACTTCCTGGCAATGTCCACAAGGGGTGGAAAAGCTGTCAAAGGACCACATTCACCCCTAAATTCCATCCATGAATGTTAGGTGTCCCACAGGTGGAGTCAGCATCCACATTGGTAGGCCCCCAAACCTGGTACCACTTTACCTAACATGGATCCACCTAAGAGCTTAGTGGAAGTCTGCTGCAGCTGGTACAGGAGATAGTCAAGGACTATAGATTGGAAGACAGTCTATAGAGAAGACTTTGAAAGGTGGTTAACCATGAGGCTTCCTTCTGGATCTGAGAACCACTCTAGATGGTAAAATGAAGACTCTTTGTTGGAAAGTTCAGAGAATAAAGCCTAGGGGCCCTGGAATATTAACAAAGTAATTGTATGAGATCTGGGCCATGGAGGGTACCTAATGTGGGTCATGGTTCTTCAGTGAGAATAACTTCTAAGGGCTTTGCGTGCAAATTCATGTTAGTCTAGAAAAATGTCACTCTCCTGAAGGGACAGGCAGGATACCAGTATCCATAATCTTCATAAGACTGCGGATGCTTGGATAGAGTCAAGCAGAGTTTGCTACCCTGGTGATTCCTATGGGGGGTGCTAAGATGAATGAAGAAACAGGGCCTGTAAGGAAGAACTTGAGACTGTCCCAGTGGCTAGTTAACCATTTCATGCTTCCCAGCGGAAGCTGGACTTCTCCATCAGCTGGTGTGAAGAAGCAGCTTTGCTGTGCAAACTTCAAAGTCAGTTTCACCTTGGCTGGGCAAATCCTCGCAGAGTAAGAGTCGTGTTTGAACCGGTCCCTGCAAACTGTAAGCTAAGCAAGTCGTGCTTGATATGTGAGGTAGAAGCCCCCCTACTTTCCAATCCAAAAGCAGCCTTAGCTGTGTATGGTTACCGCCAATCACAGGGAGCAGCTCCTTGGCCATACACCTGATGCTTACTGAGAAGGACAGCCATCACCCAGACTCACTGGCTATAAAGGCTCTCAGTGACAGCCAGAACCAATAAAAGTCCAGGCAGGAGTCGGAACAAGACTTCGCTTCCTGCTAACTCCAAAGGTTGATTCAGCCTTCAGTCCCTACTCAAGGCCTGTAGGAAAAGATTTCAAAAGCACAGTGATTCTGTGGGCACCCAATCATGATCATTCCCAATGCATACATTTTATTACCAATTGGATCTTGGGATAGCCCAGGTTAACTCATATTTGCAAACAGGCTCAAAATCACATTCTACCTTCTCTCTCAACCCTATATCCTAGAAGCCAATCAAAGGTCCAGTCATAGATAGCCTCTATGGTTGCCTTGGCTAGTGGCTACCAGTACAGCTATCCAGGGGCTATCATGAGGTCCCCAGTCTATACTAGGGAGGCTGACATTTTCATACCCATGTGGCGTATGATATCACATGAGACCAAAGTCTCCACACTATTTGAAGCCTCCACAAATTCCAGTGGCCTGCACTTGTACAGTTTGGGTGTTTGATAGATAAAGCACGTATGAGAAGAGAAAACAAAATAAATCAACTTCAAAAACTAAAGCCAGCACTGTGCTGTCAATTTTTTTGTTTTGTTTTCTTGTTTTTTCCTTTTTCTTTCCAGTTCTAGCTTCAAAAAACAGAAGGTAAATAATGTCAGGTCAATGAATATCAAATATATTTTTTGACTGTACATTAAAGTGACGTGTAATCTTTTTACACCTGCAAGTCCATCTTATTTATTCTTGTAAATGTTCCCTGACAATGTTTGTAATATGGCTGTGTTAAAAAATCTATACAATAAAGCTGTGACCCTGAAGTTCATGTTTTCCTAAGCTATTCACACTTGTGTCTTCCTGGGAGTGAGGGGGGGGATGAGAAGAGACAAATTGAAACACAAGAATTAAAGATACTACTATCAACTAGATTTATTTTAATTTGCCTCTTTAATCCTCACAACCATAACACAAGGCATGCAAATGAGAAAGTTGAGGCACAGCAATATCAAGGGATTTTTCCATAAGTGTAACCTGAACTAGTAGATGGGTTGTATTTTAAGTATTTAAAGCAGTGTGTGTTGACTGTGGTTCAGAATACTGGCTTGAGAATCAATGGGACATTTGTTAGGCAAATATTTTTGAAGTATCACTCTGTCTCTCTGTAAGTGTGTGCTCTGTGTGTGTGTGTGTGCATTCACATGCCAGGGCACAACATGTCAAGATCAGAAGACAACCTTGGGGGTCTACCCTCACCTTTTAACTTGTCTGAAAAGTGGTCTTCTGTTGTTCACCACTGCAAGTGCCAGGATAGCTGACCCAAGAGTGTCCAGGGATTCTCTTGCCTCCACCTTCCCCTCTGCATAAGCGCACTGTGTGTATCTAAGTGTATATCACTGCATCCAGCTTTGTGTGAGTTCTGGGCATCCAAACTGAAGTTCTCACACTTCCCCAGCAAATGCTTTTACCCACTGAGCCATCTTCTCAGTCATGCACACTTTGAGGTCCTACATCAAAACTTCAGAGTCTGCCTGTTAGCAAACTACTCATGTAGCAAACCGTCAGGTAGCTACAGCTACATAATAACCAGCAACAAAATTCAGAGGTGCAAGCCTTTTATAGCATTCATCTGGGATTCCAACTCAGCAGAATTCCATTATACATTCACCGTCCTGGGGCTCTGCTCAAGGCCAGGCACATTGACTGGGATGGCCATGTTCTATGTGCCTCTTATCTGCTTCCCGCGACCTAGCCTGGGCATATGGTTCTCGTGGTGATGGCAGGTACATGAGAGACAGCGTTTGACTAGCCTTTGCTTGAAAGAAACATGCACACAGCATCCTGTGAGCAAACTGAACTCTTTGAAATACTTAGGATCAGGAGCAGTGATTCGTCCTCTTCGTAAAGCCTGTCGTCAATTTTCAAAAAAAAAAAAATGAGTTTACTCATCCTACCAATGGTGTCTGATTCACCTGCTAATATCTAATCTCAAAGTCACCTACATCACCCATTTCACTTGGAAGATACACAAACATGCCGAACAAGCTAAAGTTAAACAGTCACTGCGTAGGGCTTTTTGAGATTTTATTTTAATTGCAGCATTTTCCCCTTCACTTTCCTCCCTCTAAATCCTTCCATATACCCCTCCTCACTCCTTCAGTTACATGACCTCTTTTTTCATCAGTTGTTAGTGCATTAATGTGTGTGTGTGTGTATACATACATGCATACACACATTTATGTATAGAGACATATATTTCAACATATAACCTCTTGAGTCCATATAATGTGACTTGTATATATGATTTCAAAGTTCACCACTTGGCAATGAACAACCTATTAGAGTTCTTTTTCCCAGGGAGGACACACATTGCTATTAGAGGGGATTGGAGAGGAGCCCATGAGGACAAGGGACAAGCCAACTCAAAGGTGAAGCTGTTAACCTCTGAGTTTGATGCATATTCTCTACATTTTCTAGCAGAACAGAAGAAACAAAATCCCCCTCTTTGGAGTTTGTTGAGTCCCAATTTCTTTGGCCATATCCAGATGCAAGTGTGACCTGAAAACACAAGCCATGGGTATAGAGCCCATGGTTCATTTAGTTCCCCTTCAACACTGGCAATGAGGCAGGGCTTCTCTGCCTAAGAGGCCTAAATGTAGTCCCAAAAAGACACCCTCCAAAGCTTCAGAGCCTAAAGACCCATGCTTCCCAGCTTGGCCCTGATTGGGAAACCTGCTGTCCTGCCAGCGAGTTAGCCTTGCCACTCTGTCCTTGGTCATGTTAATCTCACTTATTCTGCCTGCTGTAATTATTCTTTGGGGGTCGAAAATGTAATAGATGACGCTGAGAAAAGAAAATTAAAAAGATGAAAAATTATACATAATATATAATAGCAAAGGTACTTTAGGACATAATAACTTTCTTTCCAAAGAGCTAATACCTTTGAAAAGTGTTTTTGCAAAAATCACACATACTCGCCTGCCAGAATGAAATAACCATAAATGAGGGCACAAGACAAAGTTACCATTTAAAAGCATTTGTTACTGTTTAGTCGTTTCAGGTCCTTCTCGGCGCAAGCATGCTTATGTGTAATTTTCTGTGTACTTGGCAACAAATTGTATATTCAGGGGCATTTTCTCTTCTTTCTTGACAGCAAGATGTGTCCATCTTTTGATACACACATGCTTACATAAACACCTTTTTGTCTTCCCTGAAGTCTTTCTAGTGCTCTTGGACTAGAAGCTAAGCTAGCTTGGGTGCATTGATGCCAAAAATTATGATAATGCCTACTAAGTATGTCATCCCAGCTGTGGGGCCAGTGTTAACCCTGAAGAATAGCCTCCCCTGTCTGCTTTAGCCCTGAAGAGAGACAGACAGAAGTGGCACATCTTTCTTCATGTGTCCCTTGACTGGGACTTCTAAATGAGTGCTTCTCAACCTATGGGTCACAATCCCTTTGGGGGTCACATATCAGATATCCTGTATATGAGATTACATTGCAATTCACAATAGTAGCAAAATTACAGTTCTGAAGTAGCAATGAAATAATTTTATGGCTGGGGGGGGTCATAACAACATGAAGAACTGTATTAAAGGGTCACAACATTAGGAAAGTTGAGAACCACTGTTCTAAAGGTTCCCTAGTCTTCAAAATAGCTCCCCAAGCTGAGGACCAGGCACTGAAAATATGAGCCCATGGAGAGTATTCCAAATTCTAACCATAACATATCCAGATAGCTGGAATAATATCAAGAGAAGTAGAGATGCATAGATAGAGATAATCAATTAAGTACATAATCCATTAAAAACTTTCAAAATCATCTTTCATCACAGGGAACAAAAAAAATTCTCATTTATAAATTTTTATATTTTTTTAAATTTTATATTCCATTCATATTCAGAAAAGCCAATTATGTAGAAAGTAGAGAAAACAAAATGTAATAAAATGAAGGTAGACTAGATAAGATGATAAGAAAATATAGGTGGCCATTCCAAAAGATCTACTATACCAAGGTAGAGCCAAAAATTTGGTATTTCCATCGAAAACAAGAAGAATGGGGTCAATTAGTCAAACAATATCCAAAGAAGATTAGGTCGGTTGCTCAGCATAAATAAAAACAATAAAACTATTCCTGCTATGGAGCCTAGACAAAAAGGCTTTTGTCAGACACTCCCTAACAAATAATAGCTTCAGCAGCAGCCTTAGCAGACAATGACCTCTGCAAGGACAGTCCCCGTCTCTGCAGGCTGATGACCTCATTCCATTGAACAGTTCCTAGGAGGCTCTTAACTGAAGGGCCAAAATGAAGGGGCCCAGCGACACGTTTCTTGGCAAGTCAGTCCTAAACAAGGTGTCGGCTTACAGAATCTTGAGCATCATACTCTCTGAGCAGCATGGTGCTCTTCTCTCTGAGTGTCCATGAGCTAGAGGGAGGCTTTTATCCCAGACAATTACCAGAAAAGTAGCTATTCTGAGCTGTTGGGTAAATTTGGAACCTGCCTTTAAGAGCCAGCTGAGCAAAGAGTAGGCTTGCTACCTTCTTTTGAATGGTGAGGAGTCTAACAGCCAGATGTACTGGCAAAAGCAAAAACACCAACACCCCTCTATAAAGGTGAGGTAGGAAGGGACATGGGGCCTCACTGTAATGAGGTTGTAATGAGGACTGGCTCCATCCTAGCCCACTTTTCTCTCAAATACTTAGTCCAGACTACAAACCTATGACCACACCTGGCAGTCACAGCATTGTGTAACCTCAAGAGGAATTTCCCTCTGTTTATAAGACACAAGAGACTCAAATGAGAATCATAATGAGGTGTTGGTGCTGAATCAAGTTTCGCTACCTAAAAGAGGCAGGAGAAATGCAAAGAAGATGCAGTGGTTCCTTCCTCCCAGGTGCATGTTCCAGATGTTCCCGGTCACTCAAAAAAAAATTGGTCCATTGTCCACTTCTATTTCCTGAGAGAAAAGGATGACATCAGGAAAAATACAGAAAGGCAGGAAGAAACTTCAGCAAAGCATGCTGAAGATTGCAACTTCCATGTTTCTTTCCTATCTGTTTGAAGCACCCCCGAGAGACAGGCAGAGAAGGGATACGAGCTGCGTGTGTACTAGGCAACATACGGAAAGTCAGACACCTTCCTACTCCGCTTCACTTCAAGTTCTCTCAAACTTGGCTCTGAGCCAGGGCTGTGCTGACCATTTCCAAACCAGCTCTGCAGGTTTTCTGCAGTAGAAATCTGCTGTGGTTTCCTTGACCAGGTTCTATAACTCTTGCTTCCTTCCACCATGATCCAGTGCTCTCAGACGCCAGGAACGCTCGCTTAACACTAACATGCCATCCAGATATATGAGGAGTTAATGTCCTATATTATCTCTCTCCCTTGCTGTCTTAACCTTCCCTGCTGTCCTTGATACCAAAATGATATCTCCAAATATTAATAAATGTTGTCTCGGGCTTTGCTTTTAGGGAAATACCATCTGGGAAACTAGGTTCAGGCAATGCACAATCTCCTGTTCTCAGCTGATAATCTGCCAAAACCCATGGAGGGCTGCCAAGTGTTCAGTTAAGCTTTTAATCAAGGGACAAAATGGACTTCATGTTAGTGTAAAGCTACTCAACTGGAAGGAGTTTTACACAGTCCCGGGTTTATACCATAGATTTCATGGTTGATTTGCTTCTCAGATGTGAGAAAAGGAGTCCTTCCACCCTGTATTTTGCTGTAAAGAGTTAACAGAACTTTCCAGTAGAGAGCAAAAGGACAGTAATGGGGCTCTTTATGGGAATCCACTTTTTTGTAAGGCATAGAGCACAATAAGATGGTTAACAT